GCAAAACCAAAAACTTTATATAAATATTGTAAGAAAAGGTACATGTATAAAATAGTCTTGAGGATTATACATGACCTAGAATTTGAAAAAAAATCATTGAATGGTTCTCTTTTCCAGCTCCTAAAGTACTGAAAAATGCCTCGACATTTAAAAACACATTCAAATACACTCAGGCAAAAATCAGTTACTTCAAATGTAAGGGCATATACAAAAGTTCCTTTGGGGTTATTCTTGAGAAACCCTTAGTTATGAGCAAATTCAGATGTTAATGTACAGTCTCATGCAGAAATGAAGGCAGCAGTGCATTTCAAGTTGTCTGAAAAACAAAAACAGGCTTTCCTAAAAATGACATCTCAAAACACTTTAAGTGAATTATTTTTCCATAACAAGCTAGGAGGAAATCCCAAGTGTTAACAGATGACAAGAGTGTTAATGCCATTAGCGTTCTTTCAGCACTCCACGTCAGTGTGTAAATGATGTCCTGCTGCTCAGTCACTCAGAGAGGAAAAAAGGTTCACAGCCATTTCCAGATGCCGAGATTCTGATTCAGAGTTTATTTGTTTCTTCCCCAGTGGCGTGCTATAAGAGGTTCTGCAGTACAGCAGCTCGTACAAGAGAATTATCAGTTGATGTTTAGTGCACAATATTATCTAACATTCTCAGTGCATAAAAGTCCCCCACACACTTAAAGTAGACTTCTCCCCAGATCATTTCAATACCACTGAAGTACATTAAGTTAGGAACTAATAAAACTCATATTTAGTTGTGAGTCAATAGTCATTATTAGATAGAACTATAAGCATAAATACGTATCAAGTGAGAGCACGTGCCTTTCAAGAGGCAGGTTTTTTCATTTCATAAAAAGGATTCTGTTTTAATGCAATGGTGTTCCTTTCTGAAAATTAAAATTAGTTCACAAGTTGCTGTTGTTCTATTTAATGATAAGATGAATACACGCTGCTTTGAATTTTTTTTATCTGCGTAATTTTTGTTCTTTCATTCATGGTTCCCTTAATTTTGCAATTCTTTAAAAATAAGCTTTTAATTCTTCACATGTATGCAATCAATTAAAAAACCAAGTGACACCATTTATTGCTCTAGTAGACAAAAGATTTTAACAAGATTAGGCATGTTAGTATCACTAGGGCAAGTGATACAGCTGAAGAACAGAAAAGCTATACAAAAAATCTTCATTTAAGGACATACTAGTACATCTAGAGGACTAAACCTTTGTCACTGGGGGTGCATGCACATGTTGGGAGGGGGGAAAGGTGGTATGTATTATTTATGTATCTGTAGTTCTAAGTCAAGATAAGTCAATTAATAAGTCAAGTCTGTACAACTTTCCATTAATGCCGCTGAAACAGCTTTTCATTCTGTTATCCTTAATCTTTCTTAACAACATTTAAAGTTAAACCCCATTAATGTGAATATCTTCCTCAATCCCCAACTAGACACTCATGTTTTACAGCACTAAAAAGAAAACAGCATATACACCTACAGCAAATATAAAATTCAGAGTTTTCCATTTACAAAAATCTTCAATTAGGCTCTCAAACACTGAAATAAAACAAGAAGTGAAAGCCAGATTTGTCATAGTCATAATTACTTTTCTAAACTGTTGAATCAGACTCCCCAGTGCTGCATGAAGCTGGGCTAATTATAAAAGAAACCTCTCACATTTAAAGTTAAATTATTTACAATTTGCTCTTCAAGTAAAGTACAATTCTAGCCATGGATCAGATCATGAAAAAGTTGTCTCAATCACACAGAAGTTATTTAATATAGCATGAAATACACAAAAAGAATTTATTATTTTCCTTAACCATACTATATTCTACTTGCTATTATAGCACAGCTGTAATCCTCAGTTTGAAATCAACTATTTCTGATGGCCAACCACACAAGTCAGCTCCATGATCCCAAAAAAGCTTCAGAGTCCTGCGAGCATTCCTTAAAACTCAGGCAATTAAATACTTACAGAAAATCCCAATATAAGGCAGATACTCTAAAATCCTACCACGATAGCAAGATAGGAACTACAAAAATCACTTCTGAATCCCACAGAAGTATTTCCATACAGCTATCTCAAAGTCCACAGTGTTCACTACAAACAAGAGACACACGCTTACAAGACGTAGAATTGTGCCTCAGCAAGTAGTGGTCATGGAAGCAAGTTCAAACTGTGTTTACTAATTGAACGCAAAGTTCAATGTACTACTCTTCCTGTCTTTCTATTTAATTCCTGAAGTAGTTTAAGTTATTTTTAAGTATTCAAGAGTTACATCAAGTAATATGCACCAGGATGAATAATTGTATGTGCTAAATAAACTAAGTGAAATCACAAATTAGCCTGCTTAGAAATAGGTCAAGAAAAAAATCCTACCTGAAAATGTAAGTAGAATTTCTATTCATCTTTTCATCAGTCACAGTACCAAATACTTATTTGCTAAAAAAAATTAAAAACCTAAAATTAAGTAATTTCTTTCATAGCATTTATGTCTATATTATGAACATTAATTCACTTTATTATGAATATTATGAATGGTATTTTTATTGTAATCAATCTCCTACCTTAATATGATACCAAGCAATATTCTTTTCGTATTCTCTGAAGAAAGTCTCATCCACAGTTACTG